GAATTAGGGTTTTCGGGCTAACCAGTGAGACTGGACAGCGAAACCACACACGACGCCATGAGAGCAACATCAGAGTTACAATATGCAATAACTAGATTTTTCAAAGAAAATTGATTTTGGTGCTGTTTAGAAAATACAATAAATCAACTACGACACATAAACTATTAATCACATGAACATAGAATATAAAACAAAATAGAATTTATTCACGTAAAATATCAGAAGCTAGGCCACTGCCGACATGATCATCGTCCTCATTCCAATCCTTAAGTATCCTCAACCTCAACCATTGGCTAATGCCTCAACCTTGTTCGACGTTCGACGTCAAATTCAAGTTATATAGCAACTAGGCCTAGTAGAGCCTGCTCAAAGAAAGGATTTCTACGTTGACACCACTGAGCTATAATTTTAGCTCAGTGGTTGACACTTGACAGCCTGGACTGGACTGCCGTTTCTTTTGTTATCGATTCGTTTCGTATTGGTTGGTTTGGTTCCACTTCCACAAGCAGTGTTTCCATTCGCGGGATTATTATCCCGAAAACGGGATTTTTAGACCTTGAGCGGGATTAAAACGGGATGCGGGATGAAACGGGATTTTCGGCTGTGATAATTATTTTTATTTTTTTCTACTTAATTTTAGAGAAAAACTAACTAAAATTGATTAAAAACTGTAGCAAAATATAATAGTGATGTTTAAACAACTTCATAAACATGATACGTCAAGTATAATACTAGGTATTGTACAAAAAAATCAAGCGGGATAAAACGGGATTTTTCACAAGTTAAAAGCGGGATAAAACGGGATTTCTCGACCCAGTCCTGAGTAAGCGGGATTATTTTTTTGGTCGTGTGGAAACACTGTCCACAAGCTGACATAAAACACGACTCCATTCAATCAGGACTCGGTACCCCCCACCACCTCGCCCGGGACAGTGGAATTGGTATCGGATCGGAACGGAACACGGAGCATCCGAACTGAAACGCGGCAGACGATTATTGTTTGTTATTGTTGTTGTTATCACTTTTAACAACAGTTACTGACTGTCGTCTTCTGCCCAAGTTAACGAACGTATTTGTGTCCGGGTTTCATTATGTCTTAAAGTATTTATTGCAGTATTGTTATTACCTGTTAATAATGCATGTTGTTTTCCCACTTATTTAAATGTAAAAGAGATGTAGGCCTACCTCATTGAAGCAAAAATGCAGAGGGCAGCCCAAAAGCACTTTTAAGTATTGAAAGCCACATTTTTACTTGCATTGTTTTTGAAAATTTAAAGTCGATTAAGTTAAACAAAGTAGTTTGAAAAACTGAAAATTATCTAAATTTTTAATTATCTTATTAAGTAAACAAAGATTTAGTATCATCGATGTACCGAATAAAATTGCTTTTGGGCTGTAATGCAGGGTTCTGCAGTCCAACAGAACACGGTCCCCACCCCGATAAAAAAGTAAAAGTAAGTAGTATTCTTATTGTAAAGGTAATAACACATTTTTTTTATATTTTTTAACTAATACCATTGACTGAAGTGAGACATTCCCCCATCTATACAGACCAGCTTTCACAAATTGTTTTTGCAATGCCCCAGCTTAATGGGCTATTTACATAGGCTGGTAAAGAGAAAGTTTAATAGGCTGGTGTCTAGAATTCTATTTTCATCCTTTTATTTTGCTACTCAGTTAGTTAAGGTGACATAAAGATACTACAGTCGACTCTCGATAGCTCAAACCTCAATAAGTTGAATTCCTTTCCGTTCCCTTTGATAAAATCTGCCTAAGTCGAAAAGAAGACCATACTTAACTTAGGCTAACTCGAATTAATTTTGCACCCGAATTTTACCTCTATAATTCGAAATGATAGATAAATTACCTCTATAACTCAAAGTTCAGTAGGTAAGTCGAAGTCCTTAAATACATTACCTCAACAACTCGAAATTTTCAGATCAACCTTCGCTAACTCGAACCGGTCTGGATATGTCGCTGAATTGTCCAACTGCCTGCCAAAGGTTTTAAAGGATGTAGGGAATAAAAAACATTGTTTATTTGTACCTCTATAACTCTAATTTTATTTTGTTTACCCCTGTAAGTCGAATTTAGTGAAATATTACCTCTATAACTCAAACTACTCAAGTCGAACTATACGTAACTCAAAGAAAACAGCCGTTCCCTTGAAATTCGAGTTATCGAGAGTCGACTGTATAGCTTACAATAAGTTGGCCTATCACTTTGACTTGGTAAAAAAGTAGGCCAATGCATATATTTGACGGAAATCAGTAATTTATATCAGCGCAATCTGGGGGTGGCTCACTAACTTGATTAAGAAACTGGTGACAGCTTTAAAATGACTAACTTATATCATAATTGGGCTTTAAATAAATGATCCTGACTAATGAAACCGCTGATCTGTAGTCAGTAGCAAAGCTACACAGATCATCTCACATCATTCTACACTTATCCTTCACTCATATTAGGGTTAAAATACGCACCTAGGTGGCGTCCCCATCTCAAGAATTGATAATTGATAATAACTAGTGATGTCAATGGTCAAAGCTAATATGCTATCAATAATATTCAAGTTTGTTTTGCCTAGTAATCGTATTGCACCTTATGTGACCATCTTACAGGGAGAAAGTATCTGGCTGATAGAATCTATCTGCCAGAAAGCACTTAAACACCAAAGATCAGCCTCATTTATTTATTATTTTAATGAGCTTCAGAAAACACTGAATCATTTCTTGCCTTAAAAAGCTGATTTTAAGGCTTACCATCAGCAGTTACCAGCTCCACTAAAGCCAAAACACTGTCCAGTAAACTTATAGTAAGTTTAGTAGTCTGGTTCTGGTTCATGATGGCCCAGTTATTGCAAGATGTTGGTTAACTATACTAAGTTAAAAACCTTTTTCGGATTTAAACATAATCTTTTATGCCTAAGTTACTAAAATATGGTTAAGAATTACCAAAATGGATTTTTCAGTAGGTAATTTAGTAAGTTAACTTGGGTTATTTTCAGCTATGTACAAGTAATTAATGTGAAAGACTCCCAACAAATTAAGCCTACCCTTTTTAGGTGCATGGTGCATGCATTAAGAAAGGAATGGAAAGTCAGCCGTTTGTAGCTGAAATCGAGGCTTTATTTCATTCCATTACAATTAATAACGAGACTAAATCAATAGGAACAAACAAAGCCGTAGAATGAAATTATATATTTGTGTTCAAACTCCTAACCTAGGCCTAACTAAGTTTATTTAAATTTCAAACATTAAGTTAAGCTTACCGTACTGGTAATTAAACTCAGTAGGCTTAAAGAATAAATTGTTTTAAGTTAAGTTAGGCCCTATCTTATGTTTTACGCAGAGGATACGCGTCCGGTAACCAGACGTGGATTAGGCGTCCGGTAACCAGACGTGGATTAGGCGTCCGGTAGGGGGTCCCGGAACACCATTACCACAATGATACGATGTTCAGCCTTCAGTGTTTGTGGTATAGTGGATAGAGTGCTTGACTAATGTGCGAGAGGTCCCCGGTTCGAAACCCATCGGTAATTTAACTTTTTGTCACAGATTTTGCTTTGAATGTAATTTCTTCTTAACTGTACATCTTTTGTTAGAATTTTTGGCATTTATAATTTTATTATATGAAGAGAATTGAACCTTCATTTGATTTTTTTCACTATCAGCAAGTTTGGTTGGTTAGGTTAGGTTATGACAGTAACTGCCGGACGTCTAATCCCCGTCCGGTTACCGGACGCGTATCCTCTGCGTATGTTTTATTATAAAGTAGCCTATAGAATAGGTGATTTAGGCTAGCTTAGGCTATATAACTTAAGATGCAAACAGTAAGTAGGCTAAGATTTTATCTCACCTTAAAAAGAAATTGTCTAAAGAATCAAAAACAAATAATAAAGGTGATATATTTATATAGGCTACAAAATCATTACCTAAGTTTATTAAAATTTCAAACACAACCAACTGGTATGTTATCCTAATAATTAGGCTAATCAAGTTAGCCTATTGAATAAAAAAATTGTTTTGTTTAACTTATACCCTAAGTTATGTTTTATTATTATAAGGTAGGCCATAAGATTTTCTATAAGATGCAAAAGGTAACTTGAATGTTTTGTAATCACAAAATTTATTTAGGGTCCATCTTACTCCTTACAATTGACAACAGTTTAAATTCTTTTACCTGACTTTCATAATTACGTATAACATATTTAAATAAAATATCATAATAATACTATCATATTATCAATAATAAAAGGTAAGGTCAGTTAAATAAAACCCTTCAACATATTTGTACAACACAGAACATTGTTTTATAAAGATCCAAAACTTATTAGGCAAGGCCTAAATCAATTAGGCTAATTAATTGGTTTCTAGAAATATGTCCATCGATTGATCTGACAAACACATTTTGAAATTAATAGTAAATTAGTTATAAAGATTGGGAACCTAAGTTAGTAAGTTTTATTACTGGTTATTATTGTATTGTAACTCCGCAACATTAATTATACAATAACAATAAACATAACCTCAATTAACCACCAAACCAAATCGTTCCGATTCCGATTCCGCTGTCCCGGCAGTGTTTCCACACGACCAAAAAAATAATCCCGCTTACTGGGTCGAGAAATCCCGTTTTATCCCGCTTTTCACTTGTGAAAAATCCCGTTTTATCCCGCATGATTTTTTTGTACAATACCTAGTATTATACTTGACGTATCATGTATATGAAGTTGTTTAAACATCACTATTATATTTTGCTACAGTTTTTAATCGATTTTAGTTAGTTTTTCTCTAAAATTAAGTAGAAAAAAATAAAAATAGTCGTCACAGCCGAAAATCCCGTTTTATCCCGCATCCCGTTTTAATCCCGCTCAAGGTCTAAAAATCCCGTTTTCGGGATAATAATCCCGCGAATGGAAACACTGTGTCCCGGGCGAGGTGGTGGGGGGTACCGAGTCCTGATTGAATGGAGTCGTACATAAAACCTGCTGACGCTGACAGAGCTGACTGTTAGCAATGTTCTTATCGACATGTTGTCGGTTCAATGATAAGAATATCAACATTCAACATGAACATAGCCTTCTCATGTAAGGTGTCGGGGCTCGGGACCGGTTTATGGTATCACAGATTAAACATAGTCGATAAATGAGGGTAAATAAATACGTGGTCTAGTGAAAAGTTTGGTCCATGCAAGTCAGTCATCATCACCAAGTCAAAGTTGATACATTTTGGTTTAGTGGTTTGGTTTTTGGTTTGAGTCATCGGTTTGATTTATACAAATTATGTCATCCTGCTCTAAAGATATTTAATGTTTGTTAAATTAGTAGGGTTACTGCGCCCAAAGTGAGTAGGAATACTTGTAAAGTAGCCTTATACAAATACTATTGCATTTTAGATAGGCCAAACTTACTTGGAAGGAGGCATATCTTAATCTTCATCATCATCAGAGGAAGAGGTATATGAATATATCAACTAAGGGCTTATTCTATCAGATGTATTAGTCCCTCCAGAGATTCTTAGATTCTTGGAAGGAGGCATGTCTTCATTTTCATCATCAGAGGAGGAAGAGGCATTTGAAGATGTCAACAATGGGCTAATTCTATCAGATATATTCTTCCCTACAGAGATTCTTCTGAATATATTGATTTTTGTCAGCTGGAAAGATTTGCTAGCTTGTCGATCAGTATGCCAAACTTGGAAGAGAATAATAGATTCAGTGGTGTCATTCGAGAAGTTGAAGAGATATAGTTTAAAAGAATTAAGGGAAAGTTTTACCCATACCCTTCCCACAATCAAGTCTGACTGTGTTCCTTTTTATCTATACTTTGCTATCAGCAAAGGTGCTTTTGGAAATAATCTCTTAAAGAACGCTTTTGGCTCAGGTAACTTAGTTATGTAAACCTATAAGTTATTGATAGATAACTTAGGCCTATGTACCGTATAGGTAAGATAGGGGTAGGCCTTTGGAAGTTAGTGGGTACAGTTTCTTAACTGGGCTACGCTAATATTGATTGAAAATATCGTCGATTCGATGAGTAAACCTTCATTCGGGGATAGTTCTAACTTATGGGATACTTCTAACCTGTGGCGAAATGCGTATCAGGTATCAAAAATCAACAAGAACTTAAAGGCAACAAAAGGGTAATTCTGAGCAATTACTTGGTCAACCCCAATTTTTTTCATATTTTACTACGGTCATCAGGAGGTTTTTAGAAAGCAAGAAACATATAATTCAAGCCCCGCAATTTAGGTTAGGTTAAGTTAGGTTATTAATTAACCTAACCTAACCTAACGTAATGGTACTGTTACAATTGGCCTTAAAGATGTATTTGAGACTAAAAAAAACATAATAAGTTAGGTTAGGTTATTAATTACCTCAGTAATCGCCGGGTTCAACGTCCTCATCCGAGTCAGAACGGCCTTCCGCGCGTCTCCCGCAAGCCACTTATATCGCTTGGACTTTGAACCTTCTTATCGCTCGGCAACCTGTGCAATGGCCTTGCGGGCCTTGAATTATATGTTTCTTGCTTTCTGAGAACCTCCTGATGACCGTAGTAAAATATGAAAAAAATTGGGGTTGACCAAGTAATTGCTCAGAATTACCAACAAAAGACCAAAAAAAGTTAGTCCTGCAGAGAACCTGTACTTAATATATATAATTTAGGTATAGGTACAATTGAAAACATTATACAAACATTAACTTAGTAGGTACCCTTTTAACTCATTTTAATTATCAAATGACTAGTTTCAACACTTAGGTCCTAGTCATGTTGAAATGTTATACAAATAGGCTAGGTACCATAACAAATAATGTACTTACCCTAATTACCTAGGCCTATTATATATATATATATATAATACACCTGTGATATATTATCAGATGAATAACGTTATAAGCAATCAATAATTATCTGATTCAAAATATTGTTAATACTGTATGTTATTTCACTATGTAAACATCAAATTGAGTTATGATTTGTTTATGATTTTATTTATAACAATAATAGCTTATATTACTTAGATTATTCGATATATCGATTATTTCATTCGGTTAGTTAGGCCTAGGTTAGGTTAACAAACTTGATTTATCGAATGAAATAATCGATACATTGATCAATATTTTCATTCAAATGAGTGTAGGACGTAAACTTATGTACAGCTGATTATTGCATACATACCGTAACTTAACCCTATATTAACTTACTTGTAAATTTAAAAAATATTACATCAGAATTTGCTAGCCCCAACTTTTTTAAAACTCGATCAAGTAAAGTTAAGTTGGGTTAGATTGGCCATTTCATTTGATAGGCTAGTATATTGACTTGGAATAACTTATTTTCAATGAAAACAACTTAGGCCTATGACTTTTTTAACCCTAGCAGTGGCCGATCGTCGTCTGGTGACGATCTGATGTTGATGCTTAGAATGGCCAAAGTCGTCTGGAGACGATGTGGGCCGAAATTTTTTTTAGTGGTAAAAAAACACTTATAATCAACTCACATGAGAATAATATATATACCATTCGAAAGATCACATTCTGAACTTTCATTTTATTACATAAACAAACCCTGTAGCAGGTATATAACAATGTCACGACGATTAGAAATCAAATGAATTTTTGGCGCGGCACGACTTTAGCAGCCAACACTTGGGAACTGGCAAAACACGTCTTGTTTGGCAATACCCTGCTCGGGTAATTTTCGTCGTGGGATGTTGCGGGTGGTACCACTGGATAGCCATTGATTTTATCTTCATTGTGGTAGTAATATTTAGAACGAAATATTGATTGCACAACCGGTACGATTTTATGAAAACAGCCGTTTTCAAAATTTTTAACAAATGGCCAATGGTTGTCAGGTGACGATATGGAAAATACGAATTACATACAGTGTAAGTTATTATTACTAGTCATATAATATGTCATTTTGAAGAGGAAGAAATATAGATTGTGAGAGTGGCAGCCCTGCGCTCAGGGTTATTTGTCTGCTCACATATGAAGACGACGGAAGTGAGTCATTACTGCTACAGCTGTCTTGTGTATTCGCCATTGTTTGTTGTTCCTGGTGGGTTTTGCTCTCGTGTTATCCGCGATTTATTACTAAATACGTTATTAGTTCGTAGTGTTAGTGTTAGTGAAGTTTGTGTGCGTGTATAATAGTAATCTTCATGCATTTTATTATGCATAAATATTACTGAATTGTGTGAAATAGTGTTCATCAAAGGTTGTATTTTGTTAGCATCATGTCCTAAAATGACGATTCTGACATTCAGAGATTGTTGTACGAGACGGACCTTAGTTCGCCATGCTATATAATGATATACCCAAGGTGTTATACATTTTTATAAAGGTATATGAATACACTACAACATGTTTATAATGGTTTGGGGGTACAACATTTTGTAAAAAAGTTATAGCCTATACTAAATACTGTATTTTGTTAGCATCATGTCCAAAAATGACGATTCTGACATTCAGAGATTGTTGTACGAGACGGACCTTAGTTCGCCGTGCTATATAATGATTTACCCAAGGTGTTATACATTTTTATAAAGGTAAATGAATACACTACAACATGTTTATATTGGTTTGGGTGTAAAAAATTTGGTAAAAAAGTTATATAGGCTACTAAATACTGTAGCCTACACTCCATTTTCTCGAAATGCGCAAAAAATTCAAAACATTCTCAAATTGATACTTAATCATAGGTGAAAATAACTTTTTACCATCATACTTATGACTTTTTTGGATTCCTTACTTCATTAGCTTTACAAATATGTAGGCTACATATCATCAGCCTACATAATGTTTCACAACACAAACAAACACTGTAGGCTATAGTTTACACTTATTTGCGGTTATTGTATTATTATGTTCCTATTACGTACCTACAAAAAATATTTCTAACATGTTATACATTTTTATGTAGGTAATTGAATACACTACAAGATTATTATGTTGGTTTGAAGTAAAAAAATTTCGTACAAAAGTTGTATACTAAATACTGTGAATTTTTTTTTCTCGCGAAATCGCAAAAATATGAAAACATTATTTTATATACGTATGTTTATAGGTAAAAAATTATTTTTACCATAAACTTTATGACTTTTTTTTATTCCTTACTTCATTAGCTTTACAAACATGTATATATCATTATTAGTATAAATACACATATACTATATAACTTTTTACAACATAAACTAACACTGTACGGTTTTCAATTTTATCGGTTCTCCGTTTGTCATTATATTTCGCTCCAAAAACTTATAAAAAAAATATTTTCCTAACATGTTATATATTTCTATGTAGGGAATTAGATTGTCTACAAAATGTATATAATGAATTTCCCATAAAAAATTCGTAGAAAAAAAAATACCGAAAGAAATTAAATTTTTTTTATTTTTTTCACTTTATCGATAAAATAGACTGTCTAAATCATTATGATATTACTATTTCTAGATTCTCCTGTTCTTTCCGAACAAAATGAATATGAGGTTGGCTAGGTTTACTTGTACGGTTGAATTTTTACGAATTTTCAAAAATAGGTCTGCAAAATCGCCAAAATGGGTTGGCCATTCCCCACTTCTAACATTGGCCACTGCTAGGGTTAAACTGGTAAAAATTAAATAACATACCTGTTTCTTGTTTTAAAATAAAACTAAATCTTTAAGAATTCCGATTAATTAACTACAAGTTAGTTTGTTTACAAAAACAATATAATAATAATAACTAACAACCATATGACTTTATAGTCATATGTCATCTCCCTTCTTCACTTATAAGTCAAGTCTTTTGGGACGATTTACTCTCTGTGATGACTTTCTACTCTCTCCATCTTTAACTCCATTTCCAGCTTTACTTCCGTTCACTTTACTTGCTCCTGCCGGTTCTTCAACGTCATAAAATTGTTTCTTCAAAAACCAAGAGTTCCTTCGATAAATATTCCCATCTGGAGTTTCTATAAGGTATGATCTTGGCTCCGGACCTTTTCTTACGACTGTAGCTGGCTGCCAATCTTCGTGTTCTTTTCTATACAGTACTTTTTCTCCTTCTTCAAATTCTAAGTTGTTCTTTTTTGTTCTGTTACTATATTGTCTGGATTTTTCCCGAATATTTTGCAATTCATTGTGAACATTTTGAATTATTTTAGGTTGCAGAATAATTTTTGAACTCGAATGAATTGAACTGAGTAGGCCTACCTCCATCTGATAATAACGTTTCAGGAATTCCATGTACTGTAAACAACTTTTTGAGTTCAGTAATAACATTTGAAGATGTTGTAGATTTTAACTCAACAATGTCATAAAAACCAGAGTAGGAATCCGCAACAGCAAGATAATCTTTACCGGATAGGTGACAAATGTCAGTTCCCATTTCCATCCACGGTCTAGTTGGTACTTCTTGCTGTACCGGTAATTTTTTTTCCTCGTTATTATCTTTCTGGAGCTTTGAGCATATTTTGCAGTTCAAAACATAATGTTTGATTTCGTTCGTCATGTTAGGCAAGAACATGTATTCTCGAGCAAAATTTAGTGAGTCTTGTATTCCTCTGTGCCCTAGGTGGATTTTCTTTAGTGTAAGTGGACGAAGATGCATGGGCAGCAATATTTTTTCCCCTTTAAAAATTATATTTTCATGAACAGCTAGTTCATCCCGATAATTCCAATACTTGTGTAGCTCTTCTGGCAATTCAGATTTTTCTTCAGCCCAACCACTTAGAATGATGTGCTTAAGTTTGGAGAGTTCAGCTTCTTTTTCTGTGAGATGTTGAGCCTCCTTAAGTTTTTCTTTTGGCATGGATATTACCAAGTCTACTGCAAAAGAAAGTTCTTCTTCAGGACTAGCATGATTTATGCAGTCTCTACTCAGTGTGTCCGCAATATATAATTCTGTTCCTTTCTTATAAACAATTCTTGGATTGTAGGGTATTATCTCCACAACGATACGCCTAACTCTTGGAGGGGTGTCATGCAAGGGTTTTTTAAAGATCAATTCAAGAGGCTTATGGTCAGTTTCAACTATCAGACCAGTGAGATGTAGAGTATGTAGAGGGATTGAGTGATCCCCATACATATTCGTGAAATTTCTTACATGCAACTGAAATTGCTAGAGCCTATTTCTCTAACTGGCTGTAACTTTGCTGTGTTTTAGTTAGAGATTTGGAAGAATATGCTACTGGCCGATTTTCCTGTAGGAGCACTAATGTAACAGAGTGTGAGCTTGCATCAACTGATAATGTTATGGGATTTTTTGGGTCAAAGTAACGGAACAAAGGAGGTGACGCAAGAGCTTCATTTAGCTTTTTGTATGCTGTCTTTTGATCAAAATCCCAAACCCAGGCTATTCCTTTGTTCAGTAGTTTGCGCAAAGGCTCTGTCAACTTTGAAAAGTTATTAATGAATTTACCCAAGTAAGTTACCATGGCAAGATATAGCTGTAGCTCGGCTACATTTGAGGGCTGTTTTAGATTTTGTATAGCTTCAATCTTAGTGGGATCTGGAAGGAGGCCATTTCCAGAAACTATGTGTCCCAAGAATTTGATTTCTTGTGCTTTGAAAATACATTTGTCTTTGTTGAGCTTAAGACCTGCTATATTGAGAGCAGAGAAAACTTTCAAAGTCCTTTTTTCCAGAATATCAATGGTCAAGCCATGAATAAGAATGTCATCCATTGAAACTTCTACTCCATCTAAGCCTGAAAAAATGGAGCACATGCGTTCTTGAAATATTTTGGGAGCAGAGGCTATGCCGAATGGCATTCTTAAGTAGCTGTACCCTCCCCAAGGCGTGGAAAAAGTAAAAATAAGTTAAAAAGTTAAAGTAAGTGGCCTACTTAGAAGTACGCTCAGAAGCCTTAATTTGCCAAAATCCTTTCTGCAATCTAAGAGTATGCAAAATTTTGAGCCATTTAACCTAGATGCTATTTCTTCTAAAGTTTGAAGTGGGTGATGGCGACATTTAATTTTTTTGTTCAAATCGGTTGGATCTAAGCAGATTCGGACTTTGTCTTTTTGGCGTACAACAACCATGGGGGATACTACAGTAGTAGGTTCAGTTACAGGTTTAATAACACCTAACTATACCATGTAATCAAGCTCACGCTTAAAATGTTCTCTTAATGCAAAAGAAATTCGCCTAGCTGGATAGATTTTATGTGAAGGATTGTCAACTATATCAATGTCATATTCATAATTTTGTTCAAACACCCTATCCCATTAAATAGGTTTTCATCAAGATTGCTAGCGTGCAAATTAAGTACCCTTTTAACAAATCCCAATGTCTGACATGAATCTCGACCTAAAATCGCTGGATAATTTCCATTAACTACAATAAAGTTGACTTTTTGTCGTTGTTTGTTAATTGTTTACATTTGCAGTACATTCACCAAGGACTGGTAGCTTGTTATTTGTGTATGAAATAAAATGTTTAATCTTAGAACCATTAATTTCTGAACTACTATTTAATGCAACAGTTTTACTTATTACATTACATTGAGCTCCTGTATCTAATTTGAAAAATACTTCTTGGTTCTTAAAAAGTATTAGAAGTTCAGTCCAATCTCCTGCTTTTTGTTTTCTTTCGTTAGATAAGGATCTAATTAATGTTACCTGGTCTGAGTGTTGAATCGAATGTACTTCACCATGTTGTTCATCGGAGTCCTCAGTTTTTAATGATTTCACTCGATTATTTGGTTTTGAGCGGCATACCTTAGAGAAGTGGCCAAGGATACCACAGTTATAGAGCACTTCTTTTGGGGCTCGAGGGCCATGGCGATATCCGCAGCGACTGCATGTGAAGGTGTAATCCTCTTGTTTTTTGCTTAGTGTTTTTTCTTCTTGCTTCTCACCTAAAGTTTCTTTTCCTTTAACTGCATAAACGTTGCAGCATTTCTTTTCAGACATTGTATCTAGCTAGCTGAAATTCTACTTCTTCAGAAGTCTTACAGATGTTTATTGTCTTTTCAAGCGTCAAATTTTCTTCATGTACGGTAATAGTTTTTGGCGAGTGTTGTCATGATTGATTCCGCACACCAGCCTGTCTCGTAATAAGCTATCCTTCATTGTTCCGTACGAGCATTAATTTGCTTGGTTAGACGCTTTAGTTAAAAAATCATTACAAGTTTCTCCTTTACCCTGATTTATATTGTTGAAGACAAACCGTTCATATATGACATTTGATTTCCTTTCAAAACACAAATCAAATTTTGCAATTATATCATCCAAGCTAGTAGATTTTTCATCAATACCAAAAGACTCAAAGAGTTCAATTCCATCTTCTCCAAGTATTGTCATAAAAGTAGCGCTACAGTATCTGTTTCTCTAATGTTCTCTTCTTCAAATTGACAGCAGTAGTATACCACTGAAATTGTTTCCGCCATAAATTCCACTTCTTTGTCATTTCACTACCACTGGTAACTAACAGTGGCTTTGGTGGTTTTATGTTCATTGGTAAGTCTTGATTATTCATCTCGTCATTATCATAATCAATGTTGTCTGTAACCTTCTGAATGGAGAACATTGTCATTCTTTATTCTTATTTCTGGTTCTTCGTTTCGGCACCATGTTTCTTGTTTTAAAATAAAACTAAATCTTTAGATGAAGAATTCCATTTCATTAACTACAAGTTTGTTTACAAAAACAATATAATAATAATAACTAACAACCATACGACTTTATAGTCATTTGTCAATACCAAACCTTGCCTAACCTGACCCAACTCTAATACATCCATTAAGAGTTGATCCGATTTCTAATTTAAATTACTACAGTAGCTAGTTGTAGGTAGGCTATAAGATATTTAATCTAACATAGCTTAGTGTTATAAATTAATGAACACTATGCTGTGTGATTTATGAATAAAAGTTGTGTTTAAAGCCTAATTTATTCTTTGACTATGTAAAGAAATAAATAAAATTAAAAATCTTTTACTTATTTATTTATTTCATTTCATCAAATGCAAAATTTATTCACACCTCTATGTAATATAATTTGATATTCCATAAAGGTGTGAAAATATCAAAAAGTTGCCCCCTGGTGGGGTTTAGACTAATGAGGACATATAATCACAGAGCAGTGCGCAGTAGAATAAAAGATGTTAAGTGTGGGCCCTTGTAATTAAAAACCTCAGAAGTCCTTGGGGGATCGGAGAAATCTGGCAGCTGTCCTCCTTCACACCTTCCTCAGCCTTATATATGTTTGGCAGAAATTGGCCGTTTGGATCAGCACAATCTTTTGGTGGCTCACATCAGGCCTTTGATTTTGATTAAAAAACTGGTGACAACATGGGGATAAAATGTCTACTTGTATCAATGTCAATGATTTAATATGGTAACTTGAGCGAAATTGGATGTTGTAGGAGATGATCCACATGTTTGCGAGCGGGACCAAAATGCATGGAGAAATTTCCAGTTTAGAAGCAACAGAAGTGCTACTGGGGAATCCAGCTATGTCAATGGCTTAATCTGTTCTCAGAGTAAGTTAAGTGTACTGTTACAAAAATATGTTTAGCCAATTTTAGCAAGGCCACATTCTTAAAATTGAGTAAAAATTCTAGATATCTGTCAATCAATGAATAGGTACGGTAAGTGTTAAGTTAACCTCAATGACTATGGTTTTAGTTTAACGGAGACTAAAACAGCAAATAACCCTCCAAGTGTCCATAGTAATGGTATTAATGTCCGCCCATTTATTGCGCAATTGCAGGGTTTTATTTAAATGTACCGGTATCTTAGAAACTTAAAAACAATGTAAAGTATACTGTTTTATACATCATTTTGTTTGGGAAATTATAGGCTTCAATGTAGTACATAAAACATAAAAAAAAATTTCCAACAATTTTTGTTGGGTTAACATTTCTCAAAAATTATAGAATAAATGAAAACAAATTATGTTTCGGCTCAATAAATTTTTATAATTTATAAGTCTACAAATATTTTAAAATAGCCACTACGTTCTAAATTTTATAAGGATTACAAAAATATAATAATATAAGAAAGTAAATTTGCAATTAAATAAGTTATGGGTGAAAAACAGATTTCGTACATTTAGCGTTACCGTAGCTAAGAATCAATATCACTACCTACTTCTTCAGGATCATCAACCAGCCCTTCAAAATCACTTAAGGGTACGTCCACAATGCACGCTGTCGCTGGTATAAGCAGGAAGTCAGATTCAGATTTTCGGTGCCGAGTGTCTGACTCAGATGAGGTGGCCATATAAATGCAAGCAGGTTGTCAGCCGGACCTGTCTGTGTTGAGACCTATTTAAGGGATACTGTACGTACATTGATACATACATATTATATAAATATTTATACATATTTTATACAGGTTTTATACATTGTTGGTTGAAACGCGTACTCCACAGCAATTTATGGATTGATAACGTAAGTTATTTAATTATTTGATAACTCAATCCGTTGTGCTACAATCTCAACATTATTTATACATATTATTAACTTCTTGCAGACGACAACCGATTTTTTAAATATTTAAGAATGAGCTTGAACACCTTCTTAAAAATGAGCACAAGCTTGCCAAAAACTTGGGACAATATCACAAAACCTTGAAATAGCATGTCCCGTTGAAGTAACTAAATTTATTTCCGTAAGTTAAATTGCTTATTTTGTAAAAAATCAATATTACAAACAATTTAATTCAATCAGCAGATAAATTTGAGGTACAATGTTACTATATTTGTTAAAAATTATGCACTTTGATGCGCTTATTGCAATTTGCTGGAACGTGTTGAACGTTTGATAGCAATTTGTTAATATCCATGGTTAATGTAATGAAAAACTTGTACACTCAATACAAAAACAAAAATCAACGGTCCGATATAAGCAGGTTGTCTGAAACCAGAATGAACAATTCATTCCAGTAAAAATCTGAGTCAGACTACCTGCGCACAGAAAATCGGCGCGCAGGTGCACTATGGCCGCTTACGTTTACTAGCATGGGATGATAAGCGCGCCGAGTCTGACTTAATCGGCGCCGACAGTCTGACTCAGAAAACCAGCGTGCATTGTGGACGTACCCAAAATCTTCTTATAACACCACGTATATCACTACTTTTTATTTTTTACACTAAAACAATGATAAACGTAATAAAACACATCAGTCATCGGTGCGAGGTTAACCAAGTTGTTTACAAATACGCACGTCGGCTGTCTGCTACAATATTTTCAGAACTAAAATGAAAAGAGTCTAGAAACAGACATCAGGAGAAAGATTAGAATCTGCCGAAAACAACGATACCAACCTCGATCTAGTTCAATCTGTTTCAGTCAGTCCCAGAGCCCTTGCCGTAAACGATGTTTGTGTGTCGCAAAAGCGACGCATAACACCACGGCGGGTGTGTTGTGCGTCGATTACGCGACGCTTAACACTCGGAGGGTTAAGCTCAGAGTTTGTGATAAGTTTTGCAGATTGCTGCTGCTTCAAAGTCTAAACTAAGTACATTATTCCATTTCTAGAAATTATTAAACATTGAGCCTAAAGATAAAAACAATTATTTTTCATTTTAGGTAGGGCCTATTAAAAATAGGTTGATATTAAAAAGTAAGATAATTAGATAAAGATGAATATCTATATATTTAATTATGTAATGTGATTCTTTGCGTCAAAATTGTGGGCAACTGGAAAGTCGTAGAATGACAGGAGAGGGTTCAAATTAAAGGTCTCTATCCCGTGACGGCAGGAAAATAGTGATGGTCGGATCCGGATATCGGTACTGGATCCGCCGGATCCGAGCTAGAACCGGCACCCGATCGGATCAAAAAAATTCCGGATCTTGGGCTGGATCCACATAGCTGTCTGTATCCATGTACAAAACCGATTTTTTCCCGATTTTTACTCAATGTCACAGTGATGTATATTACGACGTCAATAACCTCTATGGTTAGGCAATGTCACAGTACTGTATATTATGACGTCAAAACCTCTATGGTTTAGCAATGTCACAGTACTGTATATTACCGTGTCAATAACCTTTATGGTTAGTCAATATCACAGTACTGTATATTACGATGTCAATAACCTCTATGGTTAGGCAATGTTACAGTACTGTATATTGCCGACGTCAATAACCTGTATGTATGGTCAGGCAATGTCACAGTAACTTACTGTATACTACGACGTCAATAACCTCTATGGTTAGGCAATGTCACAGTACTGTATATTACGACGTCAATAACCTCTATGGTTAGTCAATGTCACAGTACTGTATATTACAACGTCAATATCCTCTATGGTTAAGCAATGTCACAGTACTGTATATTACGACGTCAATAACCTGTATAGTTATGCAATGTCACAGTACTGTATATTACGATGTCAATAACATGTATGGTTAGGCAATGTCACAGTACTGTATATTACGACGTCAATAACCTGAATGGTTAGTCAATGTCACAGTATATGGCTCATAATTCTATTCCTAAAAAATTTATTCTCGAATCCCAATCTTTTCTTAAGATTCGGTGGATTCAAGATCCGGATTCGACACATCCCTACCTTCGATCTTGAGTATATCGTGGTTTTTGCGTGCAGCATCCAATTTATTTTTGCCTGGATCACCCCTTGCGTAGCTCTTCCTTAAATTCGTTCCAGGTCCACAGTACTGATAGCCGGGTATGTAAAATTCTACAGGTAAAATACCCTGTGTCTGTGTACAAAATTTTCTGTGTACATACAGGGTGAATAAAAAGTCAAGACCCCCCCATCTAATATGATAGAACACAGTATAGTCTTCTTGTACACAGACACAGGGTATTTTACCTGTAGAACTTAACTTACCTGGCTATCAGTACTGAGGACCTGGAACAAATGTAAAGAAGAGATTAACCAGAGGTTATCCAGGCATAAATAAATTGGATGCTGCATGCAAACGATATACTCAAGATCAAACTATAGTAAAATATACACAGATACCCTTTTGGTGGTCGTGCAAACTGGACACATAATTTCATTTTAAGATTTTGAAAAGTTTTAGTGTCCCCAAAAAATGAGGGATTATGGGCTCAACTGGAGATTACTCTATATATAAGATATATTAACCTTTAAACATTACCAATTTAATTTTAAACAGTAGGCCTATGATTTAAATTGGCATTCTGTTAATTACGTTTTTTTTAACCCGCCCTTATGACATTGTGTATCTGGATCCGGATCCGAAGATCCAAAGTTGGCTAATGTAAAATGTTCTCTATAAGAATAGCATTAAAAGACATTTAAAAATATTAATTTACATTTAAATTTATTGTCATTTAAAAGTCATTTAAGATTCATAAGAGATTGCTGTCTTGCACAAATTTAGTATGTTGTAGCCCTTTTCGGAACAAAATGGTATCACTCCCATTCCTGTAAAAATTACGGTTCAAAAGTTATTGTAAATTATGTTATTTTCTCATAAAATAACATAAAATAAGATTTTAGAAAAAAAGCCGGTTTTGATTTAACTTAGAATGTGATGGTCCTTAAAATATTGAAAGTTTTTTATTTAATTTTTTTGAAAATTTGATATTTATTAGGGATTTTTCCATAAAACCCCATAAAAAACGGAAAAATCAGATTTTCTCGAAAATTGTCTGAACGATTTTCTTAAAAATGTTGTATGTTATACTCCTTTAAATTCTGAACAAAATGTTGTACTTCTCATTTCTGTAAAAATTGCGGTTCAAAAGTAACTTATGTTATTTTCCCATAAAAAACCATATAATATATAAAAAAATCTGGTTTTTGGAGAAAAGCTGGTTTTTGATCAAAATTAGTATGTTATGGTTCTTAAAATTATAAAAAATAGTCCAACACCCCATTGCTGTAACAATTAAGGATCAAAAGTTATTGCAACTTTTGTGATTTTTACCTATAAAATATCATATTTACTCTTACCGTTTACCCATGGTTGTTGACAAGCTTATGGGAGTCGTAGTGGATAGTGCAGGTTTTTAGTCTATAAAAATAATCTTTTGATAATGTTGTAAGTTTTATTTTTTTTATTTATTTATTTTTTTCAGAATTCATGTACTTATTACAAATTTGACAATTCATAACTAGCTGCTCAATGTCTACCATAATACCTGGCCAATATTTGTGTTGCCTTTTAAAGAAAATTAAATCTGAAGATTTATAGGCCTAATTTTTGGAACTTTCACATTAGCTAATAACTAACTGAGTGAAAACTGATCAAATGTCTTTTGTCTACTAATTTCTTAAATAAATTGTCAGTATATTAGTAAGAAGTTAGATTGAATAACTTCAATTTGCAGTTTCATCTTTAAATGAATTGTTAGTATGTTAGTAAGGAGTTAGATTGAATAACTTCAGTTTGCAGTGTCATGGTTTGCAATGTCATCTTTAAATAAAATGTTAGTATGGTGAGGTTAGTAAGGAGTTAGATTGAATAACTTCAATTTGCAGTGTTATCTCTAAATAAATTGTCAGTATATGTTAGTAAGAGGTTAGATTGAATAACTTCATTTAGCAATGTTCAATGAGTAAATAAATTGTCACTATGTTTTTGTTAGTAAGGAGTTAGATGGAATAACTTCAATAAACAATGTATAAATTTGTAATTTAAATTTTTGAATTGAATAACTTTTTTAAACACTATATGAATATTAATTGTGTAAAATTGAAAAATAATATAACGAGAAATTTTTTTTTGTGTGTGACGGAAGTGTTGTAAGTTTTATTTTTTGTCAAAGAGGGAAGTGTTATAAGTTGTGTTATATTGTTATAGCTCATTACTCTATGTTGTTCCTTTTGTACTTTATAAGCAATGACTTGCAGTTCATTCTTTGTTTTTCTTACTAATGGATTTTGGAGCGAAACCACTAACTCGCTCTCTCTGATTTTGGACCTCATAAAGAGAACATGTAATCTGTGAATTAAGTATTGTGTGAAGTTAATGTTGTAAGTTAAGTTCTGTTGAAACAGTAGAATCTGTATATTAATTAATAAAGCCCCACTTGCAACTAAATAATTAATTTAATGAATCCAAATCAGAATAGATAATACTGTATATCTTTGTTGTAAATTATGTAAAGTGCAATACTGTATTTAATTTTGATCTATTTTATGAGTAAAAGTAGCTCCTTAAATTGTAATACATCACTAACAAATCCTTTTTGAATTTTTTAAACTATTTTTAGACTTTGAATATCAAAGGTATAGTGTATTCCCTTAAAATAGAACTCCATTAAACACAATCTATATTTTTACTTAAGATAGTAAATTTAAATAGAGCTAAAAAGTATGCTAATAATGTACCTGTCTTCCTGTTAACTGAAAACATGCTTGTACCAAATAAAGCTACTGTAGCCTATCATATTGTAAATAAATGAGTTGAATTTATTTGTAAATTTGCAGAAGAGTGTCCAAGATACTTGCACTGGGGTGTGTTGTCATCAGAAGGTAACGGTTGGTCTGTAGAAGTAGAGCCCACAGGATCTGAGCCTCTTCCCGCCCACCTTCCCGGCCGCTCTTGCTTTACCACGTCTTATGGTTGGTGTATCAAAGAACAATTAATAACATTGGAAGGACACAGTCTCAACTCGTTGATTATGGATCAGATTCAACCTCAGCTTGATGTTTCTGAGTGGTGAGAAACTCCTGCTTTGCCTTGTTATTGTCTGCTTCCAACCCCGCACCGCGCCGGACAAAATCAATACTATCTAAAAGTTTTTTGTGTATTCGTACCATTTTAATGTTTTTTGTGTTCGTGTCGTCCGTGTTTTAATTGTGTTTTTGACGAGTTGCAAGCTTTGAAAATGCTGTCTTCGCAACAAAACATGTAGGTTGATGAGCAATATTAATTGTTGGACTATTTGACGGACGTATGTAAAAAACCTATTATTGTCTTAGTCTAGGGACCAGAAACGTGAATTTTGAAAACAAAAATTGCAAAACACCGTACAGCAAAAAATCTCGCAAAGAACAGAACAATGGAAAGTCTAGTAAGCTACTGCTACCATAGTCATCATACACTATAGGCTACTACTACATGCTGTTTCAGAACAAAAGAATGTCGATAAAAACATTAGATGACTCATAAAAAGTCATAAAACAGCATAAAATCATAGTACCCTACTAAAAAAGTCTTAAAGATAATAACAACAGTCATAAAATAAGATAAAGATAACAATCGTGAAACACCTCTTTCTATTTCTCCATTCTTTCTTTGGTTTCTCTTCATCCACACATTCAACAAGTTGCCATGGTTACTAATCACCCAACCTCAAGCTTCTAAAGTTGCCATGGTGACTAATCATCCAATCACAGGCTACTAAAGCTGTCATGGTTACTAATCACCCAATCATAAAATGTTGAGACATATCAAGCACACAGCACTTTAGCAATGAATACAGAACCTTATAAGAAGTGAAACCGCCGTATTAAAAGAGGCGACGCTACAAAGATTTCTGGCAGCGGTAGTTCACGAAGATTTATGTAGGAAGCGCTAGAGTTGCCGGCCAAGTCTTCGTGAACTACCACTAGCAGCAATCATTATAACGTCGTCATTGACTATAGCAGACAGATGTGTAAGGAGCAGACGATTGTCAGTGCAAGCGGATAGCTTGACCTCGAAGCTATCAATGGAAATTTCTTTGTTTTGCTTCCATTTATTTTTGTCAAATAAACTGCTATTTTTTAAAAACAATAATGAGGGAACATACTGCATATAAAAAATAGTTAGATATACCAACATATTATTAGACTGAAGAAACACAACTTATAAAAACTTTCTTGGTATTTTTGAGGTTGTGTATTATAATTTAAGAGACATCTTTTTACCACAGTTGATCCGCCCCCGGTTAGTCGAGGTTTTACTGTAATTAAGTAACCCTTTGCCCTCGAATGGCCAGCAGTGCTGGCAACAGCTGTTTTTGGCTCAGCTTGTCATTGTCCAAGCAGCACCACTGGCCATTGCCGTTTCTTTGTAATGTTGGCCACCATTCTGCCAACCCTGTTACATCAGCTTGTATCAAGTTTTTTTTTTAATTTGGTAAATTATAATTAGGGTTAAGGTTTAGCACATTGAAACCAAAAATAACTCAATAACTCATTTATTCAACCAAAATAACAAATTCAAAATTTGCATTAGTCATGGCAATATCTTTACTACTAAAATCAAAAATAAACAATGGTGCTTTCATCAAACTATACCAATGATATACTCCTTTCAAACTAACTAACTGAACCCATCAGTGACACGATCTCGGATTCAGTAACTCTTGGCCAAGAGTTTCTTTTTTTTTTGCCTTTTAAAGCGGTGTAAGTCTGACTCCAGGTGAAGGGAGGGAAGAAGTAGAATAGTTAAATGCCGTTGTAATGGAAGTGTCTCTTAAAAAATGGCATTGACTGAGATGACAATTTAAGATAAGAATTGTTACGTAGGTAAATAGGTGAAGATTGGAATCTGTTTGATCATTGCGTTTGGTCCCTTTCTGAAGAGTTTCCTTCTCCGAAAACGCGATTTTCACCTTAAGTTTCTCACAGATTTCATCGAAGTCCAGCATCAGGAAAATGTATCTTCGATTACATTTTCCTTTTCCTCTTTTTCTGCAATAGGTAAATCATGAAGGTCCATTATTGACTTTGTAATCTCCTCGATCCATCGTGCCTAAGTTGAAAGTAAATTTAAGGTCGGTACTAGTCTCTGTGAAGGGGGAGCGAGCTGGTGTAGTGGTTAGAGCGCAGGACTTAAGTCCCTGAGATCCCGAGTTCAAATCCTGCCAAGTCACCAATGGATTTTATCTAAATGATATTGCCGCAACCCCTAGGTCTAGCCTGAAGTAATGTGAAAAACAACTCCGGGCTCGTGCCTAGCGTCCTAGGACAAAAAAAACAAAAAAGTCTCTTTAAAGAAACGGTAGCCTCATCAGCAGCTATCAAGTTGTTGGCTTCGGCAATTGCACTCTTCAATCGTTTGCTAGCCTTGATGTAGTTCCTTCATAGCCGTTGAGAAGACATTTATAAGTTTGTACTATACCCTTGGGGATCTTCAACCATGGAAAAAATTCTGTCAACGCTCTGCTACCATGACATGAAATATACTATTGAATATACTAATGAATGAGATTTTTCTTGTCCAGTTAAAAGACACACTCTGCTACCATGATGCAAAAATATTAATGGATGAGGTTTTCTGTGTGACGGCCCTTAAAAATTCCCAGACCCATTACATATCAGCTGGGGAGGTTTTTTTAGATGCACCCTCAGGAATCCCTGTCAATACCGTCACAAAAGGTTTGCTTTATCTATATAAATAAAATTACAGTTTTGTCTGTACATTGCTTAGAATCATGCAGTTTTTGGGGTCTGACTTAGGGGAGGTACGAATGAGGCATTTAGTTCAAAATTCCTCCGTGAACAGCGCTGTAGTAGAGAGCACTTTGGCAATGAAGGTTTACTAATCGCAAAAATAGTTCTGTTCATGAAATAAAATTATAAATGCCTCAAATTCAATTTTATTATTTTTTAATTATAAAATTTAACTATCATAACCTAACCGAACTAACCAAACTTGCTGATAAAGAAATAATATAACAAAAGTTTAGTAATCGGAAAAATAATTCTGTTTATTAAATAAAACTAGAAATTGCTCAATTAAAATTTTATAATGACTTAATAATAAAATTAAACTGTACTAACCGAACCAAACCAACCAAACTTGCTGATAATAAAAAAATCTTGGACAAAAAGTTAATAATACCAGCGGGATTCGAACCCGGGACCTACAGAATGTCAGCCCGGCACGCTAACCATTAGACCACCGAGGCCAATGGCTATCAACAGTTTTGTTACGGTAATGGCGTTCCCTCAGCTAATAAGAAGCCCACAGCTGTCATCGTAGCCTCTTCTATACCTCCCCTGAGTAAATACCCAGTTTTTGGAAATTTTTACGTTTCATAGCCTAAGAAAGCCGAAACGAGTCTTATCTCAATTTCTGTCTGTCTGTTTGTCTGTCCATTCTGTCATTCTGTCTGCGACACCAAAATGTCATTTTACGCTGCCTACTCCTAGAAAACTAGAGTACCGATCAAGGTTCAAATAATTTTTCTGTATTTACTGAATTGGTGAGAGTATCTTTGGCTATAAAAACATGGCCTCGCTTCTTTAAAAACAAAATAACGAACCATCAAAACCCCAATTTTGTTTGATTTTTGTCATATTTCCTCCCTATGTTTACTATTACATTTTATGAAATAACGATCAGCTGTTTGGATTGGTTCTCACTTCTAGTTGTCACTGATATGTTTACATTAAATACTGTTTACAAATACCGCAACCATTTCCGATCAAGGTTTGTAAGCACATCCAAACCAAGTGAGATTAAAAACGTTGTGCCGTACTTAACCGGTTTAATTAATCGCAAGTGCAACGATTGTTCTTGAGTTTTGATAACCGGGGAAAAGACCGTGAATCAGTGTTGTATAGTGCTGGGAAACTTACATTTTTTAATCATCGTCACCAATAGCATACAAAAAAGGATTCCACTAATTGACGGCACATCAAGGACAGTTGTGTAAAGTGCAAAGTAAAAAATCACAACTGCAGTGGGTGATCGTGGATGTTGCTACGATCTTGGAAGATTTTTCTGATTTCGCTGTGATCGTAACAGACGGTTAACTAACAGATGTAGCTAAACTCACTTTTCCAGTGTGTCACTTTTGGTTTCTAATTTCCTCTTTGTTCTTGGACCATACCGCAAATCTTGGCCCATACCTATCTCTTGGGTAGGTCCTACGTAGGCCTAATTATTCACAACCACATTTCAACAACAATCGGTACTCTAGATATACCGATCATCGTTTAGAGATTAAGCAATCTTTTGAATAAGAAACCTTTGTTTGGATAAAGGTGGTTTCTTCAAACTGTCATTAATATGTTAACATTAAAAGTTGCTTCCAAATAATGCTATTAATGAGAAATAACTTTGATTTTCAAAAACTTAAGAAAATCCAAAACCGAGGGAGATTAATAACTTCGGTTCTGATACCACATCAAGTCAAAGATTTTTTGAGCAAACCATCATGAATCTTTTAAGCTTTACGTTATAAACGTATCAATGTTTTGTTGCCTGTGTATTTATTTATTTATAATATTTGCCAACGGATTTACACCAATTTTACAGTTTGATTAGGCCTAAATACGATTATCATAAAATTTGATGACACTATCCAAACTTTCTAATACGGTAATTATTTTGTTTGTAATTTGCTTTGGTTAAAGCGTAGCATATCCCCTAATTCAATTCTGTATTTGTGTGTGTGTATGTCTGTTGGTAACGCATTAATGTCCTTATTTCTCAGTGTTTCGTGGAAAAGACAAGAGCACTTTTGTTTATGAAAATTTCAACCCGAATAAAGTGTGCAGTAGTGAGGTAGAGGTAGTATTTCAACTACTTTTATCTAGTGTGGAAAGTAACTTTCAATTACTGGCCTTCCTTAGGGCTGTGCCTCATAGATCTATAAATGAATTCCTTTTATCATTAGAAATAAAATATGGACTAACACGATCGGGTGACATTTAATTACGAAGCATTCGTTTTGGCTTGAAACTGTCAGATATTGTATTTGCGAAGGTTTATATGTATTCATATATACAGATAGTTTTACCAGCATATCTAGAAAATGCACACAAAATATGCAAACCAACAACTGTTCTGAATATAAGAAGGTTTCAACTTACTACAAGATTCCCGTACGTAGAACGGGCGCACAGCTAGTTTCAAATATAAAAGGAGGGTCTATAATATTGAACTGTTTCAATCTCCCAACGTCTGCGTCAGCCAGTTGCCTCACCATGGAATATTTCGTCAGCCATGACTCGACGCCAGGCCAGCCACCAGGCCAATGTTCCCAGAAGTATAACGTGCATGGCTGAACTCAGTAACTGCGCAACTACAGTTTGTCTAACGCCCCGAGTGATCGTTAGGCAGCAGCACTGTCCAGCGTTGAACTGACGTCACGCGGCATAGCCGCAACCTTGATTGGCTGGTGCCCCTCCACGGCCAACTTGGCCACGGACGGAGAACACTCAGTAGAAGTTAGTCTAAATTCAAAATTTGTTTCGGTTGGTCGCCTAAATCTCCGCGTCGCCTTTCCCCATAGCCTCCTCGGGAGGCTATGTTTCCCCTTTTTCTAAAATGGAATTAATCATGTCAATCTTTATCTTAGCATTGTAAACCTATAAGTTAACTTGATTCGGAATTGTATTTTCTCATAAGCTCGTACTTTGTGTTCATAAATTTGTCAATGCAGCAAGTCGAAAGTTACTATTTTATTATAATAAACTAATTATTCGTCTCGAAGTTTGTAGTTTCATTCGGCAACCTGTCACATCTGGACCAGTTAAAAGTTTTAGTGTAGAAGCGTGTATATAAATTTAGTTGAGTAAATATCAGTAGTTTAGTTTCAAGTTTCTTGGTAATTAGTAAATATAAGTTCAGAATTTGTATTTGTTGGGATAGTCAACATTTTTTTGCAATGTTTAAAATACTATGACGTGGCTAATCATCTTATAGTGTTGGGGTGAAAATCGACTAGAAAAGAAGTTTGTTAAGTAAAGAACATGACGTTGGTCTCAGATTAGAACTAGCTGAGGTTGTGACAGAAGCTTAGTGACCACCTTAATTTACAATCAGCCTACACACATACAATTATTAAAAAATTTTCTTGATTTTATCCCACAGGTATGCAAGACGCTGGGATTGTGGTATTAAATACAAATTAGAAGTTTCATTGCTTGATAGTAATAAGCAAGTTCTACACACATTTGAAGAAGAAACTGGGGATTCTCTACAAGACAACAATTGGCATCAGGTATGTGATTTGTACCTTGTTTATTTTATTAACAACAAAATTACACATACTGGAGAGAAGGCCATCAAACCACTAGAAATAATGTTAAAATTGATTTTTAAGCTACATTAGTTCTAATTATTATAATTTAAATCAGTCAACTTGTGACACCTTATTTTATGTTCATTGAGTATCTATATCTATATTTATCTATATTTATAAAAGACAAAGTTTGTATATATATATACTAGCTGGCCCGACAGACGTCGTCCTGTCCTATTGTGGTTTTATGTCACATGCTCGTTCATTTTCAAGATGAGCTCGTTCGCATGGCTCAATCACGTCCTGGTTGAAGTTCGTTCGCTACGCTCACTCACCTTTAGGTTGGAGCTCGTTCGCTGCGGTCACTTGCCTTCAGGTTAGCTCGTTCGCTACGCTAACTCGCCTCCAGGTTGAAGTTCGTTCGCTACGCTCACTCACCTTTTGGTTGCAAATTAACTGTTCTCATAAATTAAAAATAAATATAGTGCTGCACCCTGTTGGTAAACCTATTAACTTTTTAATGCTATTGAACATCATAGAATCAAATTGTTTAGTTGCACCAGCTGTTAAGATTCTTTAATTCCATTTAAATATGAGTACTCATAAGGTTAACATGGGAAACTCCAGAGCCACTGGGGCGGAGCCCTATTGACGGATCTGCACCAAACTTCACACAAACCATCCTTGAATAATGCTTAATAATGCCTGAAAGTTTCATTACAATCTGTCGAGCGGTTTTGGAGTCCATAAAGGACAAACATACAAATATACAAACATACAAACCATACATTGGATTTTATATATATAGATATATATACCCTATGTAAATATATTTGAACGTTATGGACTCCAAAACCGCTCGACAGATTGTAATGAAACTTTCAGGCATTATTAAGCATTATTCAAGGATGGTTTGTGTGAAGTTTGGTGCAGATCCGTCAAAAGGGCTCCGTCCCAGTGGCTCTGGAGTTTCCCATGTTGACCTTATGAGTACTTCATGTTGTTTCTTGTCTCAGGATTACTGTTTTTAGATTATAAAAGGTATAATGTTACCTGGATCTGCCAAAGTAATCCAAATTGCTGTCTGTCGAGACTACGCGTTTCGAAGCATTAATAGCTTCATCATCAGGTCTTCAAGAACACTTATCACTCATCAGAGGTCGTCAAATAAATATAATTTTTACAAACGTACATACGAGTAGGCCTACGAACCGCGTGCGCGCACTTAGACAGGTTTGTCATGACTGCAGCGGTGAAGGTTGGTGTCGTGAACTTTGTCCCTTGCCGGTCAGCTGTTCCTGGTTAGCTATTACAGTAATAGCGAACCAGGAACAGCTTACTATCTCTACTTCAATTGAGAAAAAACGCAAATGGATTGTTTACTTCTAGGTTATGTTGCCAGTTCCTTGGACAAATTATACAAAGTCTTTGGACTGAATTTACCAACACAATCCAGACATTTCAAGTCAAAAATAAGGAGTCTCAAAAACTCATTTGCTATTGAAAGTTTTAGTGGCAATATTAGACCAAACATAAGTGAAGGAATTAGTGTTTATGTATTCAACGATCGAGTAGTTACGGGACGGTCAAGTTCATTTGAATGATTCAGGAGAGGCAAATAATATATGCTGTTCAAAAAGAGAAAATGAAAATTTCCAACCTATTTCGGCAAATAAATCCATACTTTCAAAACTTTTGGACAGATATAAGGAGAAACTCACTTAATAACGTTATGATGCTGGGCATATACTGTGACTGGCAGACAACACGTTAAAATATACGTTAACCAACTTTCAGTGGTGTTACTGCCTTAGCCTATTCAAAGCAGATTATGGCTGTCCAGCTAGTAACCCAGAGTTTGTGGGTAAAAAATGAAGCACATGAAATGGTTGATATCACCCCACTTTTCAGGGGTGGTCAATTGAATATAATTATGAAGTGAATTTAGATCCACTTCCTTTAGCTTGCGGATCAGAGCCAAGAGGGTCGCCAAGTTGACCAGTGAATGAGGGGAGTCAATTAATAATGACTCAGCGAATTATGGTTTAGCAATTTATTACTTTTAGTCATATAACCCTTTACATAACCCTTTACAAATAATCCTTTACACATATGCTAGAAGTAACCGTTAGTAGTACCCAATAATATAGATAGACTGGTACATTACTGAATACAGCAGGGGTTGGCTGGGCCATGTTTAGCCTAGATTTAGCTGTACAATTTGACTCCCGTATAATCACAAGAGCCATGCAACCTTGTAGCCAGCACCCCTACTAGTACAAATGATTTACGATTTTAAAACCCAACAGACAGATAAGTATTGCGGACCTCAGCCAAGGGCGGGAAATTCAAATTAAATCAATATGCTTTAAAAATTCCTCCTGTGTTTTTGCTTGAAATTTTTTGCGCAAAATCGTTAAATTTGCCATTATTTTTTGTTTGTTTTTAAGTCATAACTTTCTAAAACAAAATGGTAATAGAAAACTGTTTACATTTCCCTGTAGGGAAATAAATTCCAAACATTTTTTATATCTTGAATTTCACATGAATAACTTTTGGTTCACACAACAAAGTTTAATTATCAAAATTTCATAATTTAAAAACCAATTTTTGTAAAATGTTTTCTTCCTAATGTCAATACACACTGTTATAAATATTTATTCTGTTGCCATTTTTGAACAACTCAAGTATACGGGTTCAATAGGTTTGCTCTGTTGGTTTATATTTTATGAATTTTTGAAAAAATGACTTCAAAATTGATAAAATTATGCCTTGCCACTACAGAGTTCGCCCATTGCCAGTTGGAGGGTTAAAATTGAAACAATAAGTCAAGCTGACCGACTCCAGGATTCGAACAAGAATATTGATGACCTGAAAAAGTCCGGGAATTACTAAATAAGTTTAACCACTAATAGCCTTTGGTTTATTTATTTATTTTTTTATTTATTGCTCTTGACAATTTTTACATTGTGTAGCATATAATAGTTATTCTAATATTTATAGTTTATGGTTGAGCTTCAATTAATTAGTTCTCTTTCAACATCATAAGGAAATCATGGTCACTGGGGATTATCCTGGTATCGCCGAGATCCGAGATCGTAAGATATGTTCAGCAGTCGCCACAATCACGGATGACGATCATCAATGTATACTTCCAAATAATATTTTTTAAGAAGCCTATGCCGTAGGTTGGAAGAGGTCTATGGCACTAGCAAAACTGGTCAACCCAATGTCCAAGTAGGTTATAGTAGTTCTTATAACTTTGCTACCAAGTTGAAGGACTAGCCAGTTATATAGCTTTCAGCTGATTTGTGAGTTACACTTGTTGATGGTTGTAAACAGAAAGTTTGGTTATGTTATTTATTTATTTTATTTATTACTTGGTACAGCACATATACAATGAATTTATATATTACAAAACTGCATAAGCCTTAAAAGAGGCTTGTCCGCAGCGTTTCTTATAATACTATTGTCTTTTCCATCTTTATCTTGATCTTGAGTCAGTGTGAACTATTACTGTACAGAAACTTTAGAAAAATAAATTAAATTCAAAAATAAGAACAAGTGTAAATGCAAGGAATATTCTTAAAATTATTTAACATGAGTATATACTTTCAGATTACAAACATTCAACAAACAAATAAATATCTAACAAGGAATAATAACAGCTTAAACGAACTTTATAACATACAATAAAACAGGAACAGGAACTATATTTTTAACAGTTGATAAAAGATATATGTATATATATAAAATTCTGTAAAGAATAACAGCAACTGAAAAACAACAAAAGACACAACATGTATTATACTATGATTTAACAACAACAACAACAAATAAGAGTTCTCTAAAAACGTTAACTACTCGGTCATATACCATTTTTTTAGTTTTACCTTCAATAATTTTTATGTTTTTATTTCTTTCATACATTGTGGCAAACTATTAAACAATGTAGGAACCAAATAGTTTCTTGTACGCTTTGTGTATTTATTATTAATAGTAGGAACAATGAGAAATTCTTTCCTAGAGTTGTATCTATGCTCGTTTTTTACTTTGAACCTGTTTGAAAAATAATAATCTATTATTAACAAATAAGTGAACAGCTTTTCAACTGGTAAAACCCCTGTTAACTGATAACACAACATTGTTAGTCTTGTAACTGATGATATAGCTGTTGGTGCTCAAAGGGACAAGCATGACTTTTCCCATTGCCAATATTGCGAGTCATTAGAGTAGTCATAAGTATGTAGATTCAAAATGGTAACCTATTCAAAGTTCCCATGGTCTGAACTATGTTCCAGGTATCTCACAGTTTCAAGGACTATGGCCCAGGAGTGAGGTACATATTATTTCGTCACTGTGGAAGAGACAGTCAGTTCTGGGCTGGCCACTATGGCAGCAAGATGGCTGGAGGTTCAGTCATTGCTCGCATCCCGTCCTCCCAGTTTGAAAAAACTTGTGATTCTATTTCTCTAGATTAGGTATTGTATTCTAATTAATTTTTTACCTATCATTCAAATAACAGGGTGTCCACAGAAAATTTGTCATTTATTTCCATGACTATCCATGACCATTGATTTCCATGACTCATGAACTTTACTCAAAAATTTTAATATACATACACACACGAATGATACTGCCTAGACAAGTTATTTTACAGAATATACTTTTTTTTAGGGAGAGGAGGGAAAATGCTTTTACGCACACAGGTAGCCAGCCTGTAGTGTGAGACTCCTGAAAATTATCAGACTAGGCTACTCACTAAAAAAACCCCTCTACTCTGTTGGGCACAGACCTGGAATTGTTTGTCACATTACTTCAAGTCAGTCCAACATGTGACCTAAGCCCTCAGGGCTCGCACCGTTTCTGGCATTTAGATTCTTTATGACCTACACCGCATCCCGGTCAAGGTCGAGCTTCTTGGCGCGGAGAATACCCTGGATGTAATGTGACACACAGGTCCAATTGTCCTCACCCTCCGTCATAATCGGTATGACCGTGTCCACCGACAGCAGTCCTACTAACTGTTGAGCCTCCAGGCGGGGCCTTTCCCAGCGCTGGCAGTGGAAAAATGTATGTTCCACGTCATAGAGGATGCCTGGGCAGTATATGTAATCGGGTGACACGGCTTTTCCCATCCTGAACAGGTACGACTGGAAAAAGCCGTGTCCCGTCAGAAATTGGGTGAGGTAGAAGTCCACCTCTCCGTACCCCCGATTAACCCAAGGTTGGACTTGCTGTATCAGTCGCCTGGTCCAGAGTCCCCGTGTCTCCTGTTCCCAGCCCTCCTGCCACAGCTGGTAGGTGCGGGTGCGTTCCTCTGTTCGTGCCTCGTCCTCTCCACGGCGCCGGTAAATAGCCTTTCTCTCTGCCGCCAAAAGTTTGACGGGGATGACTCCAGCAACCACCAGGACAGCGGGCTTGGACACTGTTCGGTAGGCAGATGCTACCCTCAGTGCTGCCTGACGCTGCACTCGGGCAAGCCGCATCCTGTATGCATCCTTATTTAGTGCGTCTGCCCACACCTCCGCACCGTACAAGAGTACGGACTGGACCAAACACATTAACAGCCTTCTACGACTGGACCGAGGCCCTCCGACATTGGCCATCAAACCGGCTAAGAGAAGAAACCACCCTAGTGGCCTTGTCCGCTGTACGGAAGATCTGATCCCGCCAGCTAAGTTTGCTGTCTACCATGACCCCAAGATACTTGGTAGCACAAACGGTTTGAACCTCGACGCCTCCCACCCTCAACGGCACGACGGTGTCAATCGGTTTTTTCGTCAAAATCACGATCTCGATTTTGCTCAAAGCAAGCGAGAGACCGTGGTCTGCCATCCATGCGTTTATGGTACGCATAACTCGGTTTAGCTTTAGCTGAGCCAGCTCAACGCTACGTGCAGCTATCAATGCTGCAACGTCGTCTGCGTACCCAACCAAAACAGTTTCCTCAGGCATTTCAGACCTCAGAAGGCTGTCATAAGCGATGTTCCAGAGGCCTGGGCCGAGTATGGAACCTTATGGGCAGTACCAGAAGTGACACTCATCGTCCGCGGGCCCTCCGCAGTGTCATACGTGAGGAACAGAATATACTTAAATATTTTTTAACAGATAACAATCTATTAGTACATCTGCTAAAATATGGCATTCAAAATAAGTAAGGAAAAAAGAAAACCCAGCCTCCGCCGTCCCCACAGCTGCCCAAGTTATCTCTCCACTTTCATTTTTCAAAACTCATAGACTTGTACAACTTTAATAAATTGAATTATCGTACATTTGTGAAAAATCCTGAAAAATGCTACAATAGTCGGGGTTACGGCTGACTAGAGCATTCAAAAGTTCTCTCAAATCCATCCATCATTAGGAATTTCCATGACTTTCTATGACCTTTAGCCTATTTCCATGACTTTCAATAGCCAGACTTTGTTCCATGACTAGCCCTGACTCTCCAGAATGTGGACACCCTGAATAAAATTCACCTAATCTGTGACAATCGAAGACTTAGTGTCAGATTGCTTGAAAAAATGATATTACAATTAAACAATTCAACTAATTATGACTATTATAGTGATATGTTGATTCTTAATACTACAGATTCCTGAACATTAATATCAGTATCATGAATTGATTGTCAAAAGTCTATACGACACCCAACAATTCTGCAAAGATTGCACAACCGAAAAAATCCTTTTTATTAGGATTGTGGATGAATACAATAACGTTTCTGTGACCGCAAGAGACAATGGAGATGTCTAAATGACGACGAGAGATTATCAGAATTTTGCTGAGATCATTGAGGAAGAAAATTATGTTTTCGTGACCAAAGGAGATATTCAGGATGTTGTTGAACTTCCGATCGCGAAAAAATTCTCATCATCTTTCACAGCCGTATGGACATAGTTATTGGCGCTTTCACAGCTGTATGGACATAGTTATTGTCTTCGCCAGAGTTTAATTTGTAAAAAATGGGGTGCCGGAACTGTAACCTATTTAATGTGATTAGTACATATTTATGTGCTTATTAATGCCAATATGTTTATCTTTCGTCGCATATCAAAATCGTGGCAAAATTATGATTATCTCTTGCGGCCGTATAGATAACACATCATCGTCTCACGCTGTCACAGAAATGTCATTGTCGTCGTTCCGTGATCACTGATCTTATTGAAATTTCTGATCTTCTACTGCGACCATGTAGACATCATCACCGGCGCCCACGAAAATGTCATCGTCGTCTTGCGCAGTCGTAGAAAAATTCTGATCTTCTCCAGCAGCCAAAAAGACACCATCATCGCTTCCCTCTGTCACGGTAGCATTATTTTTGTCTTACACGATCACAGCAAATTCATGAATACCTCCTTCGGTCTTGTAGATATTATCGTCGTCTTTTGTAAACACGGCAAAATATTGATCATCTCCAGTGGCCATGAAGACATCATCATTGTCTTGTCTCCCACGGTCAAAGAAACGTCATCGTTGTCTTGTGCGATCACGGCAGTAGTAGTAATTTTCTGATGGCGTGATCTTCTTAGACGTGTCAGGAATCAGTATCGGAATCGACTTTTGACGATCGATTCCCTATACCCATATTAAATCCACGTCTCAAATCCATATTTGATTTAACACAATTATTGATTATGTTTCAGGTTGATCATCCTCAAGCAAAGTGGTTGTCAGAAAAGCTGATTCATTAACAGAACAAAATTTGTTAATCATTACTTATTTATGGCTGTTATTACATTTTAACTACCCAAATATTAAAATTAATTGAATGTTATACTTATAATGTGGAAGGAGCTGTATTATATTAAATATATTTAATAAATCTTTGCTTAGGTTATTTTATTTCCATGTGCTAGTGCGCTTTAAACATGCTCATTTATAAATACAGTAGTACATTATCTGCATCATATAAATTGATTAATGTGATTACTTAGTGAATCAGTTGAAGTCTTGACTTTATGATGCATAGCTTGTATTGTATGAAAATATAATCATACAAGCTGCTATACCCGTGCTTTGCAACGGGAAGAAAATGTAACCTAGAGAGCTATTAAAGTGGTGCTGATGTGTGTTTTAAAATACAGCAACTCTATGAGTTAGTTTGAAAATATAAACTGATTTAAAAGCGTAAACCTACTTACTTCCAAACACCTAAGATCCATAAGAATATGACAACATACCTTAGTGTAGCAATAGCCTCAATTGCTTCATATTGATGCTTCATGAATGACACGTTTTACCATAATTCTTAAATTTTAGTCAAGCCTCTTCACATGGCATGAATTAAAAATGAAACTTTGAGCAATACCTTTGACTATTAATAGTCAATGGCAATACTTTACAAAACTTATACAAACTCACTTTTAAACCAAACATAACCCTCCTCAATCTACATAAAGCGTCACAAACATAAAATTGTTCGATAAATAAACAAACACCTGCTCATTGTACTGAACAGCTGTTTCATTAACTAAATTAAATTAAATCATTTAAACACTGGAAGCATGCCAGGCGTAGCCCTTTGGAAATCAGCCTGTGGGGCAGAGCACTCAGGAAATTCGTCCATAGCAATATTTTTCGGCAAATCTACACACTCTAAGCTTCATTTTGATGTGCCATATGCCTATATTTTTATTTGGTAAATGACCTTAACCGTTTACATAAAATTTGATTGTATCACTTTAATAATATAATAGATTATTACTGCAGCTCATTTGCCTAATTCCCATTGTGTCAAACACTTTGGCAGACTAAGTTCCAGCCATGACTTTTGACTAATTGGATTTTTATCGAATGAGACAGCGAGCATTTAGTAGCACTATAATTTTAGATTTAATGGGACGGATTTTTCTATTGATCTAATGGGATTTTGACCTAATAAAACATTCCAGCTGTAGCCTACTTTTTATTATCTAAAAGAATAAGTTTTATGAGCCACTTGCAGAACAGGCAATAGTCTAAAATTGATTTTTTCCTTATTGTTTTTACTAGGTTATTGAGATAGTTGATGTGAGATGAATAGTTGGTGTATTTAACAGAAATCTGTAGTTTATATCTACACACTCTGTCGGTGGCTCAGGTCCATTTTGATTCTAAAACTGGCAACAACAAACGTGGGGATGGAATGTCAACCTGTCATTAGTCAATGTTTCTGCTCAAGGGTTTTAATAAGAGGAATTAATTAATGATATAAATATTCAAAGAAGTTTACCTAAAATAACGGTTTACATTCTCTGCCTTAAATTCTGTTCATTCAAATTTGTGAATCTTGATGCTGCTTCACAATCTGGCTTGTATTTAAAAGTTTGGACAGCATGCAGCAAAGTCAGTGACCCAAAAATTCTCACATCTCACATAACAGGTTTCATGCTCTCTTCATCTCCCCCAAGTGAGTTCAGGATTTTAAGTTGTATCAATGAGTATACACGTACTAGAATAGCCACTCAATGGAGGTTATCGTCACCTGAACAGCGCTGTTGCAGGGTAGCATCAGCGGCCCGAACTACTCTACCCTGGGCATGACGGTAAGGCAGGTTGGTTGTTTTTTATTATTGCTTTCATTTTAGGTTGTAGAATGTCATTTTTGTTGATGAAATTCATTTATTTGTTTCTAGTTTTGTTGTTTTATAATACATTTTTAATACTAAATGATTAAAAGGTCCTCAGAGCCGCACTGCCCTACCAACAGACTACCGCAACCCAAGCGTCAGCGGCCCCGAACTACGTCGCCTTGTGCAATAAGACCTTCTTCAAACTCCTTCCATACTCTGCACTTATTTTTTAACGTGCAAACACTTTACTCCATTTAAGTCCATCAAAATGGATGGACACACAATACAATAATTAATTTTTGGTGTGAGGGTACAATTTTTCATGTATTTAAATATGTTTTAATATAAAAGGTAATTCATTAACTTTTTTTTAAATCTTATCCTAAAAATAGACTTCAAACTGTCTCAGTTAATGGTGTACATTCCAAGGAAATCTTGGTTCAATACGGAGTCCCACAAGGATCTGTTTTAGGACCCCTGCTGTTCTTAATTAGTATTAATGATCTTCCTAGCTCTGTTCGTACAAAGTCTCTGTTATATGCTGATGATACCACTTTTGTAGACATTTCTGATGACTTTGTTCATCTCAATTTACTTGCCCAGACAACTTTGAAAGACGCTGCGACCTTGGCGACTTGGTTTAAAGCAAATGGATTTTTACTCAATAATCAAAAAACTCAAAAAATGTTATTTACATTAAGGACTGTAGATGGTGTAATTACTGATGATTTGGTCTCAAATGCAAAGTTTTTAGGAATTTATATTGATGACAAGTTAAACTGGCAACCACATATTGAGCACATATCTTGTAGACTTTCACGAGTTATCTATCTTTTAAAACGATTGACAATGTGCGTTCCAAGTCATTATCTAAAAACAGCTTACTTTGCCTATTTTCAATCTATTCTTAGATATGGTCTGATTTTGTTTGGCAACTGTGCTAAAATTGATGACATTCTTATCCTTCAGAAGAAGGCAATTAGAGTTATGACCAAAAGTCAGATGTAAGTGCTCATTGCAGGCCTTTATTTATTCAGTTGGAAATACAAACCATTATCAACCTTTACATTTTTGAACTTGTATCTTATATACTAAAAAATCAGGATCTTGTTACACTCACTGGGGATATGCACAGTTACAACACTCGCAATAGGGATAAAGCAGCAATTGAGTACAATAGGCTCAGCAAATCACTGTCTAGTCAAGTAGTACTATCCCTTAAGGTATATAGTAATTAATCTTAGTAAGAAATATACTGTTAAAGTTTTTAAGAACAAATTTTATGAGTGGTTATCTAAAAATCCTTTCTATTCACTTAGTGACTTTTTCTTATTAAAACCGATAGAATTTTAATGTTTGAAATCTGTTATGTATAATTTTTGATTCTTGTATAGTTCCTATGAATTGAATATTCCTATGATATGTGATATTACCCTTAGGCCTAATTAGTATAGAGACTTGGAATTTCTGCTGTAAATTTGACTTTGTCAATGCTTATGTAGCCTTAAAGACAATAAACATATTCTTATTCTTACTTTATGATGAGACCAATCATTTCATAGTGGTGGGAACAGGCTGGATTAATAAAAAAAAGTTGTCTCAGATTTAAACTAGCCAGCTTGGTTGAGATAGGTGCTTTATTGATGAGACCTTAGTTACCAGACAAAATAAAACAAAATTTTCCTGATAAAACTTTCAAATTATTCATTACATTTCCACTTTTAAGTAGTGTATTTACTATGTGTGGTAAAAGATTTTCATAATGATGTTATTTGGTCCAGGATCACTTCTTGAAAATTAAAATGGTATAAGATTACCTGTTTCTGTACCTGTCATGACAAAACATCTGCTGTGCCGCATCGTGTATGGAACTAGTTCCCGAATTTATGTTAAATCGTATTCGTCCGTCAATGTCTTGTGTTTTATTTATTTAAATGTCAGTGTTTTGTGTGTTTATAAAACTCGACGACCTCGCAAGAGTAACAAGAGCCTGATGATGTTATAACCTTGAAACCGGTAGCTCATTACTACAAATTTAGGATCATAGACGGAACCAGGTCATCTTATACCATTTTAATTTTAAAAGATTTTTCCTACAGTCACCTGACAAAGTGAGCTTGCCTGCACTGATTATAGTACAGAAGTTGCTTATTGGTGCATTTACTTACTTTCACCGCACTCCAGTAATCCAAACAAAAACCACAAAACAATGTGCTTTTATTAGGCACGCTTGGAAATAAGTTGGCAACACTTAAAGATATACTCGGTCAGTCTAGCGTCTTTGAGGTCCTGGTCAAAAACCGATAAGAACCTCTTTTGCGAAGGAGTGGGGGGCGTGATGTCACTCTCTTCTCTTGAGGGAACACCATTACAGCAACAATACAGTGCAGCCATCGGTGTTTGTGGTGTAGTGAGTACTTTGCTGATGTCCAGGAGGCAACCAGATCAAATCCCACCAGTGACTCTAACTTTTTGTCAGAGATTTTTCTCAGAATGCGATTACTTCTTAACTGATCATTTTATGTTAGAATTTGAGGCATTTATAAATTTATTTTATGAACAGAACTAAATTTTTCGATTAGTAAACCTTCATTCAATTTTTAGCGAATTTCCCATATAGGGAATATTAGCGAATTTCCCAAATAGGGAATAAGCTATTACCGTAGTACTCATGGTAAGTCCTGGACGCGCGACCGATTTTTTTTTTCGTTTTGAGGTCCCTAGAGGCCAAAAACACCATCCGTTCAAACTCATATATATATTCATATATATATATATATATATATATTCAGGGTGAGTCACTACTGAATGCATTAATTTTAACAGCTTATTCTAATCATCAAAAGGAAGCAGAAAATGTATATAAACCCTGGTCTGACCTTTACCGTTTAGCTGTAATGGAGTCATTTGTGATTTTTTCAAATAACAGGACTTTTTACTGTTAATTTGACGTTCTAAGCCAAACCCACGTTTGAAAGATATTAAAACTGTTATCATTTGAAAGAGGGTTAAATTAACTGCAAATTAAACACAATACCAAAGTAACAACTCTTCATACAATGGTTTGCAAATAGCTTCAAATGTAAAATTGATTTTTATTAAAAATTCCGTTTAAATTTTATAGCTAAAGAAAGTCAGTAAAATGTTTGATATTCTAATATTCAACTAACTAAAAAGCTTCCTTATGTTTCTATCTTTGAAATGGTGTATTAACATTAAGGGGTTATGTAGGGAAAAAATGCAGCTATTCGTTAAAAACGTGAGGAAGGCGCAGCG